TGAAGAGTGCTCAAGGTGGTGTTAGGATTGCTCATTAAAGCAGCAGAACACAGCTATGGTGGGGTACTATGTTCTGTATGGGTATAGAATTAGTATTGCCTGTAAAGCATTTTTTCAAGAATTTCACTTCTAGTCATAAAAATGCTTTTTAAACTAACAGCTTTCTTCTGCTCAGTAGGATGTGATTTGTTGGAAGTGTATGTTGACCTGGAACCAGCAAGGAGATGACTAAGTAGGAGGAAAATGGTTTTAACATGCCTCTGCTTTGCCAAGGAATATGGAAACAATAACAGATTTGTCAAGTCTGTGGGTCAGCTAGCCTTGTAGTGATATATGGTATTTCTTTGCACCGCATACTTGGTGTATTGAGTTGTTTTTTTCTAAAATACCATTTAGGAGCTGAAATATGAATCTTTCTTTGTCCCAGTTGCTGTTTATCACCTCCATGGACATGCTGTTTACTGATCAGATGTATCCAGAGTAGGTGGGAGATCTTGACTTCCTTGTGGCAGGCGCAGAAGGTGGTCTGTCGTCTTGTTTGCTTCACAGTGTAATTTGATAGCCAGGACTGTGCGTGTTTGGCAGTTGCCAAAGCATTTTTGGTCCATGCACTAAAGCTCTGCAGTAGTTCTTCTCCCATTTCTCCAGTTCTGTTTTCCCCAAGTCACGACATATTCCTGAAGCGACAAAGCCTTTCCTTATCACACTGGGGTATGCTGTATCACTCGTGTGCCAAGCAGCCTCTTCCTGAGGTTTCAGGCAGTGCAAAGATGATTCCTGATGTGCTTCCTTCTTTGGAAGAGAACCAACAGCTTGAAAAATGAGTATTCAATTTAAGAAGAAATGAAAATGTTAGATGCTGTTTTCTTTTCATTGAAGAGCAGAACGGTTCTCTTGGGCACCAGGGAGTAATGATCACACAGAAGAAATCACAGGAACACCCTTTCCTCAGTGAAGAAGAGCTGATACCTCAGTGGTTAGTTGCTCTGAGATGTGCTGTTGTCCAGGTTCAAACTCTGGATGTTTTGGGAGCGAGCCTGAACCACTCAGTGACCTCTGTCTCTCCCCTTTTTGACACTTGTAAGAGGGACTTAACAAATACTTCGTTGCCACAGATGTGATCTCATATCCTCTTACAAACCACATGCAGACCAGTCATTGAGGGATGGCCCTTTTCAGTGGAGAGTTCAAAGTATGGGACAAGATTAAAAGGAAACAGTGGTTTTTCAAGAGGAGAGTTGTTTAATAGTACATTATATTATTATAGTATAAATAAGGTTTTCAGTGCTGGCCATCTCTCTGCTCTAAAAATGAAGTTTTCTCAATGCTGAATAGCTAGAGGCTCTTGAGTATCTCCTCAATTTTGTTAGTATAGGAGCAAAGGGCACCCTTTTTAATTCCCTGACTTTTTCTGTCTCACTTTTAGTTCAGGATTTTTCCTGTGGGTTTCAAGTCTTTCATGGGTATAGGGAAGTATGCTGCTGTCTCTTAAGTGCAGAGCTTATGGAGGTATTGCATTAAACCTGTTTGGCCTCACTGCATGCTTCTGGGGAGAGGAGGAAAGAAAGAGATCTGGGTTCCATTACACAGGGGGCTCCTTTCCAGCCCTGCATCTTTTTCTACCCCCTAAGCTTCCCTGGTAAAACTTCTCTGGGATTTGGGTGGTTGCAGTCTCTCTTGCATCATTTCAAGATGACTTACTGTTGCCATCTGCTCTTTTGGAGCAAAGCTACTGATTTGCTAAAAAGTAAAATGCAGTGAATTGATAAAACCATAGAATGGTTTCAGTTGGAAGGGACATTTGAAAGTAATCTAGTCTGACCACCCTGCCATGGGCAGGGACATCTTTCACTAGACCATGTTGCCCAGAGCCTCATCCAACCTGACCTTGAACACTTGCAGGGATGGGGATGCCTCAACTTCCCTTGGCAACCTGTGCCAGGGCCTCCCCACCCTCATCTTAAAAAATGTCTTCCTTATGTCCAACCTAAATTTCTTCCAGTTTAAAACTATTGTCCCTTGTCCTGTCACTTACAGACCCTGGGAAGTAGTCTCTCTTTGTCTTTTTCACAAGCCCCCTTTAAATATTGAAAGGCCATTTAAAGTCTTCCTGGAGGTTTATGTTTTTCAGGCTGGAAAACCCCAACTCTCTATCTTTTCTCACAGGAGAGTTGTTCCAGCCCACTGACCATAGTTCCAGCAGATCCATGTCTGCCTTGTGCTGGGGACTCCAAAGCTGGATGTAGTGCTCCAGGTGGGGCCTGACAAGAGTGGAGTAGAGGGGAATGTTAGTTAAGAAGTGTTAGTATTTATAGCATGGGTTGTAAGTAGTTACAGTGAACAACAAAAAATGGTGGAGCTGCTTTTGACAATGGGAATCTGCCAGGTCTCCTAGAGTCTGCCAGGTGGAAGACTGCATGGCCTTTCTCATGCTGGTGTTTACTACACTTTGTCCTTTCTTGCAAGTTGAAACCAACCTAAATTGCTCACTGGCATTATCAGCATGACCTCAGAGGTCTTTGGAGAAGCTAATTCCTTTGGTTTCTTCCTACTGCATCACTCAAAATGATAGCATAGTCTATCTTTAAGCAGCATATGATGTTTGTTTTTTATTGCTAGTCCAAACATTTGTACTGGATTGTATTTCCATCTCTGCTTTCTTATGAAGGAATTCCAGCTGAACAGGGAATGTCTCTCTTCACTTAAGCTTACGTTTTTCTGGATAGGGAATTAGAAGCTCCTTATGGTTTATTAATCTATCTTTTAGCATTATGCAACTTGTACAAGGTTGTAAGTACACAAGTTTAAATAGCATGTTCTTTTATAGCTCATTTTACAGTCCTTGGCCTATTCTGCCTAAAAATTCTCAGAAGCATCATAAGTTGGCCAAATTACACACTTTGTGTTAATTAACTCTCTTAAACAGTATCTAATTTTCTTCCTCCTCTGGAAGTTGGTGAGAGATTAGTAATAAAAGAAAATGAGTTGCTGATAGCACAACAGGATCACTGCCTCAGGTGTACGGTGAACTCTTCATTCCTATGTGAGCATTCAGCATATTAAAAGCTGACAACAGTATTTGAACATTTATCCTGGTGAGATAATATTATAGAAGATCACAGTTAATGAACCATGGAAGCACCAGAACACAAAACAGGAACTTTTTTTAAAAGCCTTATTTCCTTTAGTGGGTTTGTTCCCATTAGAGTTTTGCACTTTAGCTGTAAGTAGACTTGAAAGACTTGCAATTGGTATTGATGGGCCTAAGATTTTGTTTGAGATGATTCTTTCTAAATGATAAAAAATAATTTGACTGTTGCTAATACAGGGGTTTGAGACTACATGGTGAAGTGGCTGCTACCTCTCCTGTCCTCTTGACTGAGGCAGCACAATTGTAGCAGACAAATCAGTAAAATAAAAGTATCCTGGGGTTTTTTTCTTAAGATGAGGTTCTGTGTGGAGGGTAGTTGAGAGCATCCTGGGAGAGTAAGATGTTGAGTGCTGATGAAAAGTTAACCTACTTCATTGTATCTGATGAAGTTCCTGTCCTATTTTGTTTTAATTTTTGTCTGCAGATGTTTTCAAAAAGGTTTAACTTTCTCAAATTCATAAGATGCTTCTGACTTGCATCTTGGTTTCTGTCTTGGTCTTGTGTTTTAACAACAACTTGATGTCACCAGTTGTAGCTTCCAATAGACACAGGGGCCATCCAAAATACTTTCCATTTCTCACTGAGGTACGTTCTGAGAAGAACTTTTCCAATCCAAATAACTGGCATTTATTACTTTTTAATTGCTTAGTGCAATACTTGCTTACATTTGCTGTTTTTGATGTCTTTTCCTGTCTGTAAAATGAGAGTCCCAAAGGGCACGTGCATGCAGTCACTGAATCCAGTTTACATAGCTTGATGGTTGTTTTGGGAAAAGCATATTGTGTGTATGTAGTTTGTCACAGATGGTTGTGCTAATGCTGAAGGAATATGAAATGAAAGGAAGTAAATGAAATAGCAAAAAAAAAAGGATGACCTTGTTGTTGAGCATCATTTTTTCCAGCAGCTGTGGGGAAATCGGTCAGTATGGCACACACATGCTGGAGCTCAGCAAACATCCGCACGTTGCACTATGTAGGCAACAAACAATGGACAGGAGAAATTTCTCTGGACAATTTTACTCCTCTGGTTATTACCAGCATCCCACTTTTAGCTCTAATGCCTTTTTCTCATGAGGTTTTTGTGAAACCTGGTCATGCAAGTAGGTAAGAAACTTAATTCAATACTAAACAAACAGCATTTTGCTAGTCTTTGTGATTGTGAAGGAAAGTCTTATGAGGTGAAAGAGTTCTGAAGCTTTGAAAAAGGCAAGGCAGGCAAAATACAGACATTTCTCCCCCAATAATGTAACTTGAGGTGGGTTGCTTTTTTATTCAGGTTTGTTTTGGAGGACCAGTGAGTTTTTAGAGCTCTGGTTTTCATAGTGTGATTCTAGTGAATATAGTTTGAGTACAGTGCCCTTATGAGAATGCATATCCCAACTCCTTCTGCTTCTGGTGCACATAAATTAGGAGAGTGCCCTTATGAGAATGCAGATCCCAACTCCTCCTGCTTCTGGTGCACATAAATTAGGAGAGGACTCACCTTTCATGGTTTAGGATTGCTGGGGTAGAGAAAAGACAGGACTTGCATATCGCTGAAAACCAGGCTGATGTGTGTTCTGGACCTGCATTTAGAGTCTGTGTTTTAGGCTCTGTCAAAGAGGGCTAAGCTGTATGGAAAACAGTTCTTTGCACTGCTATAAATTCAAAACATCCATAAATCTTCAATCTATACCCTCACTGGATTATTACATTGCTAAAGTCCATTTCAGTAGCCTAAGATTCTGAATTGGTTTTTCATTACCCTTTATAAAGCTTTTCCTCTGGGTTTGTTCTGCTGTCTCTCGGATGGCAGCTGGACTGGTTATAGGAACAGTCAGCTTACCTTTGGTCCTTCCTTTACTCTGTAGGACTCCTCAGTGGTCAGACCTCTCCGACCAACACCAAACTGGAAAAGCTGGACCCCCAGCAGGTGCTGCAGCTGTGTCTTCGCTACCAAGATCATCTCCACCAGTGTGCAGAAGCAGTCGCCTTCGATCAGAACGCGCTGGTGAAGAGGATCAAGGAGGTACTGTGGTGGGGAAGGGCTTGGGACTGTGTGCTCTGAACACTGTGCTTGCTCTAGATGGCCATGGGTCACTCCCAGCAGGCTGCCTCAGAGCAGGCTGTAGAGAAACTCTGTGGGTGTGCACTTCAAGCAAAGTTTCCAGGTTTTCACTGTGGTTACTGTTAGGTTGTGTGTTTATTGGTTATGTTCAAAAGGTCTTTCTGTGCTTCTACTTTTACCACTAAATCATTATTTGAAAATCACTGATCTGTTTAAATACTGAATGATTCTGCTTGGGACTAAATTAATTCCTGGGATGAGCATCCTGCGATTGCATTCTGTTTCTCATGTGTCACTGCTGATGTTGGAAGCAGTAGAATGAATTATTTTTTTAAGCCAAGACAGACTGGCATGAAAAGTTGTTTGGGAGTGTTTTCTCAGATACTCCCAGATGTGTAGAAGAACTGGTGAATGCTGCATATGTCAAAAGTCCTTGAGACCAAATACCTTCCAGTGTCAAAAGAAAAAATTTTGAACACGTGGTTCATTTTTATTCATGCAGTATAAACACTGACCTTGATTTGTTGTTGCTCTGTTGGCTTAGAGTTAAGAAAATCCCACATGACAAACTGGATAATAAATTTGGTTCATGGGCTGTTTCGAGAATCTGCTGTCATCATGAAGTTGTAAGTCCAAAATAATGTGGGAGCCATTAAAAAGGCCTTTTTACTTTCGTGTGTCAAGATCTGAGGCCAGCTATTACACAAGATGTGAAGATATTTGCAGATGTTGGTGACTCAGATCACATAATCTCAGAAACAGGATTTAATTGCCAGCCTAATGACAGTGTGCTGCATTAATCGAAACAGATTGTAATTCTTCTGGCTGTTAAAGTGTGAGAGGGAACAGTGACATGATTTAAACTCGTGGTAGATGCCACCACTACAATCTGCATTAATTGGGTTTGCCTTCTATAGGGCAAGTGCAGAGTCCCTCTCAAATTAGCTGTGGTGGTTTTCTTCCAGTTTGTAAGGCTTGTGATTATTTGTCATCTAAAATAAAAAAACCCAATGATATTCTCACTAGATTCTTTATAACAGACTCCTCTGACAAAGTGAGGGAGAAATGGGCCACTGTAATTCAGGGAATTGGCAAGTCAGTTGTGGGGTTTCTTTTTTTTTTTTGGTCGCAACATTTAAGTAATTTCAGATGCTTTCAATCCCTCTGCCAGACCTGGTAGGTTTTTACTGTTCATTTTCCTAATAATTTTAAAATGTTTTTCTTGCATTGGCTGTTGTGCATGTGTGTTCTGGGAGGGCCGGGTGGAACTCACTCGGCTTAAATCATTCTTTCCAAACTGTTTGGGCTCTCCTTGATGTACTAAATCGAACCACTGCTGACAGTTGTTGACAACAAGGGGTGCAGCTGAACTCGAGCAGGGAATGTCTCTCCTTGCAAGTGCAGACAAAGGAAATCACGTTTGGCTTCAGCTATGGTTTAGTTTTGCCATGTACACAAACCTTTGACTGTTGGTAAAGAGTAAGAACGAAAGAGAAAATGAAGTGTGTTGTGAAAGCATAATGTGTGCATGAGCTGGGACAGTAAATCCTTTTGGTAGCAAATATTTCCCTTTTCCTTTCTTTATCATTTTAAGCAGTGAAGTGTTTTTCTTCCAATAAAAGACTTAGCAAGTGACCGATGTTTTTAACTTTCCTACAAAATGTTGGTGAACTTCAGTCCCTGATTTCCTACCATTTCTCTGAGGTATGTTCACTTTTCAGACTATCACTAACTGTACTCAGTGAGTAATAGTCCTACTGTATAGTATGCTACACTCATACTGCCTGCCAGGATTTTCTTTAGTCTTTCCTTGACAAAATGTCCCAGGGCAAATATCTTTTGTTCATTGTCTGTGTCGCCAGGAAAAAAGTTTCCTGGATTCTGTCAAAACCCAGAAGTACTGTTGTAAATTTATTGCTCCTCACTAACTCATAATTGACTGTAGTGGTTTATAACACAACCTGAATTAGAATGGTTCTTAATAGGAAAGAGAATAAGCTAAGAAAAACAAAAACGTTGCATGTCAGAAGTTGCTGCAGATCTGAGTAGACACATCTGTGCATTCCATAACTTTAGGGAGCAAAACACTCTAGCTTTGTTCTCCATCCCGTTTCCCAGTTTAGCCAGAATTTCTTTGCAATATGTTGGCTGGATCCATATCTGCTCCTAAATGTAGAACCTGTGCAGCTTTCAGGTTGCTGTGACTGTTCTCCCTCAAGAAGAAATGCATTTACCCAAGTGTTTCCTTGAAGGAGAAAGAATTGAAGATGTGATGAAGGTAGTTGACTCAGGTGCGTTTCTGCACCAGCTGCACTTACTCATGCCTGAACTGTTGGCTTTGGAAGGGAGTGATTTACTTATGACAAGAGGTTTTGTCTTCACTGTCAAAAAAACTCCCAGGATGTGCTTGCATCTTTTTAGGGCAAAGTAACTGCTATGTATTAAATATGCCCTTCCAACTTTAAATATTCTGTGATTCTGTGAACTAAAGTGTTTCATATTAATTTTTGGCAGCTGACTCACCATCTGTCGCAATGCTGCGTTAATTTCAGGACCACTGAAATATTTAGGATTCATTTTAATTTTTTTTCCTTATCAGTTTGAAAAACAACAGAACAGCAATTCGGGATTTATGTATGTGCTAATCCGAGGTTATGACATCTCACAAAATGTGAGGAAAAAAGCCCATGTGCAGCATTTTCTGGGTAATTTGTGTATTCTTTGGTATTTTGTGAGATGAAAAGTTTTAGTGTATTGGAGGAACCACCGCATTATTAACTTCTGGGGGCATTCTGTTCAAATGGGTTGAATTAGGATCTGGTCTGTCTACTGATGGTACCTTGGACCCATGTGAGCTTGTTATGTATGTACACTAGGAAAAAATGCATTTTAAAAACCCAGTAAATAATATCTTATTAAATTTTAAGGTATAAAAGACAATTATAGCTAGTTAGCAGCTTAAACTGATCTTACCTGCACCTTGGAGCTTTAGCCACAGAGCGTTGGATGGTGGGGACAGAGTTGATGTCATGCCTTGTGGAGAATGTGATACTTCAGGCTAAAAATCACAGGGCTGAGCCACAACATGCTAAGCAGGTATCAAACAGTTCTGGTTTGCTTATTCTCAGGTGTATGTAAAAAACCCAACCAAACATAGAAAAAAACTCAAGTGTCTTGTCATCATGAGGACAAAAGAGCTCAAGTGTAGTGTTTTTCCTCTGTTTCTGTGGTGTGTTGAGTGCCCTCACCGTAGGCAGGAGGATTTGCTGCATCCCACATCCATCTCTGCCATGACAGTGCTGTGGATTGGCATTGTGACTCGTTTGAAGTTTCGAGCCAGTGCAGGTACTGAGGGTTTGTGAGAGCCACACGTGCTCTGATCGCCTCGGGTTTGTGATCTGCAGAATGGAGGATTTCTGCCAAGGTCAGTTTGAAGGCAAATGTTGACCAGCATTAAATGTATGACTGGGGAGAAGGGAGGAAATTAAGTGGGGAGAGGACTACTTTGCCTGAAGGTCTTATCAGTGAGGGATATCTGTTTTGGGTGGCAGGGAGAGAATTGCAAGACTCATGTTGATAGGAGATGGTGAATAATAGGGAATGGGAAACAAGTAGAATAGGTAGAAGCTGAGAAATAGAGCTAAATTTTCAGAAAGGGTCCATGATTTTTTGTGCTTCCAAAATTGCCTAGTTTCTGTGCCTTAAGAAAAGATTATTTTTCATGCACAATGTGCTGAGTTTCTCAAAAATCACATCTCACAAAATACCTGAAGCTAGTTAATAGTCATGCATGAAAATTTAGGCCTATCTTCTTCCTAGGAGAGCAAAAGGGAAGCTGAAAGCCACCTAAGCTCCTTTCAAAGAAACTTCAAATGAAAACATTTTCAGCATTTCTTATTAGGCTTCCAGCATTGTCAAAGGGGATGTGCTATTGAATTATCTCATGAATCCTTAAAGCCAGGCGTAGTTCTGGATAAACTGTGCTTCAAATGTGTTTGAAATTGGGTTACTGGGAGGGCTCTTGTGCTTTGCTCTGAAAACAGGAACAATGCAGTTTTATTTGTAGCCTTTATTGCCATAGGAGTCCCAGACCAACAGTGATTTTGAAAACAGAACACATTTTACAATACAAGATGAAATTTAAAATGTCTCTGTCTAAGCTGGCACACACCTCTGGGGGGAAATCCCCCCACATTTTCAAACATAATAAATATTACTTTTGTATTCTCAATGCTTACACAGCTTTTGTCCAAACAGACATTGATATCAGGAATTGGTTTGCCATGCAGCAAATTGCAGTGTATAGCTTGTTTCATACCTATAAATTTCTCTATGGGAATAGCTCATTATTTTGAGCAAATATTCCAGAATATGGTGTGTATGGTTTTGATTTGGTTTGGTTTGTTGTTGGTTTTATTTTCTTTACCAGCTTGCCACAAGTAGTAATTGTAATGGACTTCTCTAGTATGTAGTTAGGATGTCCAGAAATAGATCCCTTAATATTTGACAAATAAACAACTTTTGCAGCCACACATGACATCATCTCTCCCAGTATATTTTATCTATTTAAAATAATTTACAGGAGTTAAATCACTTTTTCTATAAGCAACAAGTGTGTTTGACAGTCTAACAAGAAAATCACTTTTATATACAAACATTGCATACAAACATGCATTTAAGACTCATAAATTGTGATTCAGCCACTCACGTCACCATGTGTGACCAACACTTAGGGGATTTAGGAATTTCAGTTGATTTTTTTGTGAAGGCTTTTTGACCTTTTTGACAACTACATTGTTTCTGTAACACAGAGTGGTTTTTTTATCAGAGCCACCTGTCACCAAGTGACAGTACCTGCTGGGGAATGTGGCGTGCAGAAGTCATCAAGATGGTTTTGTTCCACTCTGAGGGAAGGGTGGGCTTGCTGTGGGCAGAGCCCATGGCTTCAAACCCCTCTTGAT